CGGTAGACATATTTTAGCTAATTTCAAAGGAATATAGTTTAGTATACTTTGCTCTTACCGTTTTCGATATACAGTGCATTTAAAAATGAAATCTTTAGAATTATTTTAAGTGACTCATCCAGTTTACAATTTTCGAATTTTAAAATTCTTGAAAATGTCAAATTTGACAATTACGACGCTTAAATTTTTTTATTTATTTATACCTCGATTCTTCTTCAATATGACCTTTACATACCGGGTGATTCCGGAAACTTTGGCAGCATATTTTGCAGATAAAAATAAGTAAAAAAGTTCGTATAAATGTCCTAACTTGCTTAGTTTCGGAGATACAGGGAGTAGAACTATCATTTTTATTTCGATATTTTCCAAATAATATATGAAGTAACGTTAATACTTTGATGAAAATTGGTTTCCATTTAAAAAAAATCAAAATGGCGTCGTATCTGTCAAAATTGACGTTTTAAAAAATTTTAATGTAGAAAATCGGCATCCTCGCGAAAACTTACATTGAAATATCTTTTTACTATCTTAAAATAGAAAAGAGGAAAATTTTAAATTGGGTGAGACACTTAAAATGATTCTGGAACAATTCATTTTTAAATCCACTGTATATCGAAAACGGTAAGAGCAAGGTATACTAAACTATATATTTTTGAAATTAGCTAAAATATGTCTACCGGATCATGCTAAAATATGTGGGGGTTTCCATTTAAAAAAATCAAGATGGCGTCGTATCTGTCAAAATTGACGTTGTAAAAAATTTTAATGTAGAAAATCGGCATCCTCGCGAAAAATTACATTAAAATATCTTTTTACTATCTTAAAATAGAAAAGAGGAAAATTTTAAATTGGGTGAGACACTTAAAATGATTCTGGAACAATTCATTTTTAAATCCACTGTATATCGAAAACGGTAAGAGCAAGGTATACTAAACTTTATATTTTTGAAATTAGCTAAAATATGTCTACCGGATCATGCTAAAATATGTGGGGGTTTCCATTTAAAAAAATCAAGATGGCGTCGTATCTGTCAAAATTGACGTTGTAAAAAATTTTAATGTAGAAAATCGGCATCCTCGCGAAAAATGACATTAAAATATCTTTTTACTATCTTAAAATAGAAAAGAGGAAAATTTTAAATTGGGTGAGACACTTAAAATGATTCTGGAACAATTCATTTTTAAATCCACTGTATATCGAAAACGGTAAGAGCAAGGTATACTAAACTTTATATTTTTGAAATTAGCTAAAATATGTCTACCGGATCATGCTAAAATATGTGGGGGTTTCCATTTAAAAAAATCAAGATGGCGTCGTATCTGTCAAAATTGACGTTGTAAAAAATTTTAATGTAGAAAATCGGCATCCTCGCGAAAAATTACATTAAAATATCTTTTTACTATCTTAAAATAGAAAAGAGGAAAATTTTAAATTGGGTGAGACACTTAAAATGATTCTGGAACAATTCATTTTTAAATCCACTCTATATCGAAAACGGTAAGAGCAAAGTATACTAAACTATATATTTTTGAAATTAGCTAAAATATGTCTACCGGACCATGCTAAAATATGTGGGGGTTTCCATTTAAAAAAAATCAAGATGGCGTCGTATCTGTCAAAATTGACGTTTTAAAAAATTTTGGTGTAGAGAATCGGCATCCGCGCGAAAAATTACATTTGAAAATCTTTCTACTATCTTTAAATACCAAACAGGAAAATTATAAATCGAGTGAGACACTTAAAATGATGTCCCTGTACCTAGATGATAAAATTATTTTTAAATTTCTTGCTGTCTTAATGTATTCCGCAGGGTATTTTAAACTTTCACCTAAATATCAATATTTTGTTTTTCGTTGTATAATAAATTGACAGATGTGAGCTTTCATTTTTAATTGTTATTAAAAATTATATTATATAGCTATATATTGCTTAAAAAATCATCAAATTATCCTTAGGAAGTCATCAAAATCGGCCCACTAGAACAAAATATATTAAACTTTACAATACATCAAAATTTTAAGGTGCATAATACTAAAGTTTATAGTAAACTGAGTTTACGAATTAAATTTGATACATTTTATGCAGTGCTAAAAAATCATGAAAATAGGGCATAGGAAAATAGTACTTTATTTATTAAAATTATTATCTTTTAGGACAGAAACAGCTATTTGAAAAGATTTACAATAAATAGAACCATAAAATATCTGTAGAAATTCCTGCCAAAATTTAGGCCAAAGATCTATAGAAAAAGCAAGCAATGTAATAACGCTGTTCACCGCGCGCGTTTGTCTGAGAGAATAATTTACCCTTAAGAACATTTGATACACTGGATATATTTTCGTTTTTTGTCACGAAGATGTATCGGTTATGCCTCCGCATTCATCAGTGAGATAAACAATAAAACAAAACGATCAACAAACATCGTTACTAATCGTTAGGCCTAAAGGTTTTAATAAACTTTTTTCTTCCATTTGTAGTAGAATCGTAATTTTGCTTTTGTATTGTTCAGATTTTGGTTTATTTTTTCTCACTCTCATTTGATCTTCAAAAAACCAAGATATTAATTCAGTGGTTAAATCATATAGTAAATAAATAAACGGGTTGTTTACATTTTGCTTGTATAATTTTGGTCAAAACAAATCAATGTATACAGGGTTATTCACCTCATTCGACACGGAGTATTGTAGCCATACGATTAGATTTTTAGAAATTGTGATTTGAAATTGATTGGAATGTTTGGTGGACTACTAAAGCTACAATTTAAAATTATTTTCTAAAGATACAGAGTGTCCCAAATAAATAAATAATATTAAAGTTGTATTTTTTTTAATAGATACCCTGTATATTATTACATTTGTAGTTTCTACAATTAAAATAAAGATAAATTTGATTAAGGTTTACCGCATTATAATTTATAATCTTACTGTTTTTGAAATATTTATGATTTTGTGAAAATACAGTAGCAAATTTAATACTTCATCTTTAGGCGTGTTTAAGTTATTAAAACCAAATATAATACTACCTTATACAGAGTGTCCGAAAATTTATTTTTATTAATTACTATCTGTAAACGGCAATAACTTGTTTAATTTAAATGGAACACCCAGTATATTTTACATGAATCCGATGCACAATTTAATTGTCTATCAAAATGTATTATACCATTTTTTACCTATCTCTATAAGTTTGAGAAAAAAACAGAAAATGATTTTTTTTTAAATTTAGACCTCATTTATCAATATACTCATGGCTTTGCCTATGGAATATATTACACATACAGAATTCAGTTTTTTAGTCTTTGGAGCAAATATGAATCAACGCAAACAGTTAATTAATGTAGTTCGTATACTAGACGCATACTAGTTGATTCTCTTTTACAAATATTTAAATAGTTTTTTTTTATTTTCAAAGAAATAAGCGAATTATATCGACAATAATAATATCTGTACTTTTGGAAAAATTTGTTATATCTTGAAAAATAATCAAAAATGTCAGTATTCCATGGGTATATTGATAAATAAGGTCTAAATTATAAGAAAATGCATTTTCTACGAAAACTTGTAGAGATAGGTAAAGAATGGTATAACACAATTTGATAAACAATTAAATTGTGCATTTGATTCATATAAAATATACAGTGTGTTTAATTTAAATTAAACAAGTTATTGCCGTTTAAAGATAGTAATTATTTAATAAAAATTTTAAGACACTCCGTATAAGGTAGTATTATTTTTATTATTGTAACCCAAATTTTATTGAATAGAAAACCTTCATTACGATATTTGGTTTTAAAAACTTATATACGCCTATAGAGAAATGAAGTATTAAAATTGTTGCTGTATTTTCACAAAATCGTAAATATTTTAAACATGGTAAGATTAAAGTGCGGTAAACCCTAATCAAATTTACCCCTTTGTTTAAATCGTAGAAACTAAATATGTAATAATAGATATTATACAGGATGTAATTACTTAAAAAAAAAACAACTTTAAAATACCGCTTAAAAATACAACTTTCATATTTTTTCTTTATTTGAGACACTCTGTACGTTTTGAAAATAAATAATTTTAAATTGTAGCTTTAGTAGCCCTCCCAATAGTAGTCCCTCCTAATTAGTAGTACACTCACAATTTCTTACCAAATATCTTATCATTTGGCTACAACACTGTTGTTAACTTAGCGGTTTTCAAGCTAGATCTAGCGGTTTATTATTCCAGTTTAGCAGGAAAACATATTATTTAAAGGCTAGCGGTTTTAGCGGTTTACGTAGTACCCCCCATTTTTGATTAAAATATAAGTAAAACTGACACAAAAATTATTATTTCAATTCTAAAAAAGACATTTTTTTTCAAAATTTGCCTCAATAATCGCGTAATAATCATATACCCCGCTGGCAAACAAACCTTTAGGTCGGCGTTTACATGTATAGGAGTGAGTCGTTATGGCAATCTAGTAAGTCGGAGTGAGCAAAAATACGAAGTATTTATTACATAACTACTTAATCTGATGCTAGATTCCATGCGCTTGAGAAAATACTCGCCTTCTATCTTTATTCAGTGCATCTTATTTTACTAAGCGTGTTGACCGTACTCTTCGTACACATGAAAACCGGCACCCAAGACCAGAAATGCCGACCCTTAGTATTCTTATAGTACATAGGCCTAGAATCTTAGAAGTCACTTTAAATTTGTCTTATCTGGTGATGAGAGCCCTAAAAACAGGTTCAAAAATAGGCGAAAAAGCACAATTTCAGGTTCAAAATCGCTCCTAGCAGATTCTAGCAGTTTTTAATATACGAATCTAGCGGGTATCCATCTTCCAGAGTTAGGCACCCTGCGACAATACACCGTGTCGAATGACGTGAATAACCGAATAACCCTGTGTAGTTAGTCGATTTTTTAAAAATGTCTATGGTTGAATTATATTTTTGCGTTAATGTAGCCTAATTCCGTTAACATGACTCTTTTTGACTTTGATACTACACGTAGATATTTACTTACCGTATTATGGATAAAAAATGAACGGGAAAAAAGCAGAAAGCAAACATGGTGACGACAGCTACCAACATTTTGGCTGCTTTTCTTCTGGATTTCAGCTGTCCTTCTGTACTAGCGTTCATATTCATGGCAAAGGTGTTTACTGATTGGCCTGATCGTGATGAATCAGATTGTGAATCTAGAAATCAAAATAATTAAGTGTTACAATTAAAAACACACGATGGTTCCAACGTTGGTTCCAACCTAGGAAGTAACATTTGACACGGATTTCGACAATGTTATACAATACACATAACTTGCAACTGTGTCTTCCACACGATGTGGCAAATGTTAATGTATCCACCGTAGGAAGGTGATAAAACTGCGATAAAAGAATGTGATATTTTTGGCGATTCAGGTATAATAAATGCTGTCAAAGAAAAAATTAACAAATCTCCGGGCTGTGATGATTTGCCACCAAATGTGGTAAAACGTTAATATTGGACAATGTAGAATATTCTAAAATATTTTTCAATAACTTTCTTCAGAGAAATGAATTCCCTAAAGAATGGAAGAGATCCAAATTAACTCTAATAGAGAAACCCCGGAAGCACCTAAATTATCCACCAAAATATCATCCAATTTGCCTCATTGATGTAATCGGGAAAGTCTATGAGAAACTCATTAATACGCGACTCTTGGAAGAAATTAGGAAGAAACGAAATGGTATGCACCCAAACCAATATGGATTCGTAAAGGGGAAATCTACCACACATGCCATGAAAAAAAATATCGGATATCGTGAAAAGAAAAGCCACATGGCATAATGCTTTGATTTTAGTTGACGTTAAAAATGCATTTAACCGCGCGTCATGGGAGATAATTATTACGGAACTTAGAAGATGGGGCATAAGTGACTATTTGGTGAACATAATAAGAAGCTATCTTGATAATAGATTTATAGTTCTCAATAGAGAAGATGAAAGGGAGGTATTCGGTGGCGTCACACAGGGCTCGGTGCTAGGGCCAACTCTGTGGAACATACTATACGACAGTGTCATGGAGCTTCCTGTACCAGGTGGGACAGAATTGATCTGTTACGCCGATGATCTTGCTGTGATAAAAACAAAAAAAAAACTAAAAGAAACAAAAAAAATAAACGACCTCGACCTAATGCAGACTGGATGATACACTAAAGGTTATAGCCAGATGGATGCGTGAGCACAGACTCGAAATAGCTGTGGAAAAAACAGAGGCGATTTTACTGAGCTGCAAGAGAAAAGTTGACCATATAAAGTTTAATTTTAAGGATATAAAAATAAATCCAGTAAAGCAAATCAACATCTTGGATTTCACATAGATCGTGCACTCACGATGAGCCTGCATATCAAGGAGGTGTGTTTGAAATCACAAAACGAACCGTGGCTAACGTCATATTCAGGGCCTGACTGTTTTGACAGTTCTACCGAAGTGGTCGAGAATTAGTAGTCGTAAACAAACCTCTTGTTTTCATTAGTTTCGCAACAAATCTGTGTTTTTTACGCGTTTCTATGCTAATAAAATTATACTAAATAATTTTGAGTGTACTCTGAGTGAATAGTGAACTATCTAGATCCGATTCATAACATCGTATCCGCGAAAAAACATACTTTCGGTAAAAATTATAGTAACACCGGCGATGCGGGCTATGTGTCCGGCCTAGGAAAAAGTTGGGGAATTTATATAAAAACATAATTAATAGCGTTAGTGTTAGTGTATAATGTTAAACCAACGTAAGTGACGTGTATTTTTAGGTAAAACATTTTTCGTTTCTTTATTTTTTCTTTGTGAAATAAAAAGTGCTGCGACATTGTTCTGTGCCTGTGCCTTGTAGCAGCAATTATAATAAGTACTCAGGATCTGTCTACATTCTCTTTCCCAACAATATTGTTGCGGACCCGTACCGTGTGAACTCGGCCTTAGAATTCAGGCGCCTGCTATGACTCATACGCCCACCGACGTTCGAAGAACGAACAAGAATTTACTAGACAAGTCTGGACTGTCTGTTTCTCTCGTATATAAGCCGATGCCCGAAACCTGAAGAGGAGAGAGATAAATAACCGATCGACGCGTACAGTTACAATCGCCGCCCTGATTCAAAATAAATTTCTGTTAGATAAATAATTAGATAAATTGTAAATAAGTTATAAATAGTTCTTTAAGTCTTTTAATCGTTATTGTTTTTGTTAATTAGTGTTAAATAAATAGTGTTTAAATAAATTGTGACTTTCTATCCACACGGAACCGACGAAAAACGTAACAATTGGTGTCAAGTGTGGCGTGTGTGATGAAAAACGTAACAATATTAACTGTAACTAGGTCACGTCCAAAACCTACAGAAGATGCTGTGCCTACAATTTTTCCAAATCAACCCTCTTATATGACTGTGCATGTTCCCAAACATCCCGATGAAAGAAAACAGGATTTGGAAATTCAGGATGAAATAAATATTGAAAATTATTATTATTATTATGAAATATATATTATTATTATGAAATGGCAATACATTTTAAAGAAATTAAATGAATTTTACTTTATTTCAGTATTTTATATAAAAAAAATGATATGTTTATCTTTTTATTTACGATATATGGAGATGGTTACTTGATGAACATCGAACTACAAATTACTTAATGATAATAGTTAATTCTACCTGATATCCACATTTTTTAAATATGTTAGGCAAATTTTTACAATTATTTTTAATTAAACTTTAAAATGTATTCTGCCCTTATCATATACAATAGATTTTCTTAACTTGTCGATAAAGTATAGATTTCAAATTTTTTAATATTTGGAAACTTTATCACAAGGTATATCATTACTAGTTGCTGAATACTCGCTAACGTAATTTTAGGACATGCTTTTTACTATCTGGATTTTATTCTGTCCATCTTATGCTGTTGTTTATTTCATATTAATATTCGTGTTTTAGATCTAAATTTTAATGCTATTCAATTACTTTAACGCGATAAAAAGTTAATGTTACTTTTTAATACCTTTGTGTATAATATTTTTCATATTTATATCTGGCAAAACTATCAATAAATACTATTATTTATGCAAAAACTATATGCAGTACCATATGGCACAATACAAAAGCCCGACTATTGCGGTGACGTCACAAATCGATGTCTCTGGCCTGTATCTCATGTTGGTTATGAACGAACTGCTAAAGCGTTATCCGCAATACTGCCAAACGTTCGGGGCCCAACACCAGCCATCTCAAAACTGGTCCAAAATATACTAGAGGCAAAATACAGCGAAGAGCAGGGGTAATCAAACAAAAAGAACAGTTCGGCGTCTAATTGAGAAGGAAGGTGTTTGCCATATCATGTGGGACCGGCTTACGCCAAATTAAAGCTCTATGGGGGTCGTGCTAATTTTGTTGCTTGGTACTTTTATTCAATGGTTTAAAGGGAAATTTTTATTTAATTCAATTAATAAATTTGTAGATTTACAGTAAACTGTAGTAATATTAAATATTACAATATCTTAATCTTAAAGGGGCCTAAGCACAATAATACACATGAAATTTTTCGCTCTTGGAATAAGAAACAACTACAGTTTTACAAAAAATTACGTCTGTGTATATCTCGTTACTATAAATAGTAAGAAATCCAATTAGGAAACTTAATGAAGGTTTGGTACCGTGTAGGATGTATCGAAACGTTACTAGCTCAAGATAATTACCAGAAAAACTCTAGATTGGAAATAAGTGAAGAATTGGAATTTACAGAGAAAGAAACTACGACAATAACTAACTTATATTAATTAGAAGTATCGATAGTTCTTTTTTGGTTCTATTTAGGTTAATTCCACTATAACAAACCTTATATTATACAGGGTGATCAAACTTTTATAGGCGTATTTTAACGCTTATTTGAAAAAGAAAACTTTAAGCAATGTATGTCTACGGATTGTCTTAACAAGAGGAAACGCTTTTTTATTATTGGCATTTTTTAGAAAAATGCATTCTACATTAAAATGTTTCCTCGTTCTAAAATGGTTTTGATTGATGAGAAAGTATAAAGGGGATTAACCACTTTAAAACAAGAAAAAAATTTAATGTACAAGGTGGACCATTTTGGTTGTTTCTATAGGGTATCTAGGAAACCTTGAGAAATATTCAACTTTTGATACTGCAGTCTCGGGTTCTTTTGTTGAAAAAATCACAATGGCGCAAACGGATCATGGCTATCTTGATCGGTTTCGAAGCTACAGGGGGATTCTCAAATTTTGTACTTTTTGAAGATGTTCGATAGTTTGTTTATTTCAGCAACTGCGCCAAAAAGGAATTATACATTCTAAAGGCACTTTTCTGTGTAGAATGCAGTGGCGTAGTCAGATTTTGTTCGAAAAAAATTTTTTTAGATATTAACTATACTTATGTTTTTTTTAAATACAACCCCCTGTATATTTTTAAATTTCCTAAATCAGTTTGCCATGGGCTTCTCGAAAATATATAACACTATATATTTATTTTCACTATTAACTTTAAAATTCCAATTTATTTAAAGATATCGACTTTCCTCTTGGTAAGTCATGCCGAGTATTAAAGGAAACAAGCGAATATCTACTTTCAAATTAATCCATGTATTAGCAATTAAATAAATTCGAAAAATACGAAGCAAATAAAAATAAGTGTGACAGAAACAAAAGAACATATTTTAATACAAACTCAACACAGCTTACTTCAATCGGGCTTCTCAGTTAATATAAAAAATAAAAACACAAAGACTACATTAAATGTTCAAACTGCTGCCCATTATTATCTAGACGGGGTTGGCACCGTCTCTGCACGCCGAACAGCATTTCGAATGTGTATGTTGGTTACACTTTGTAAAGCCACAACAAAACTATCTTGTAACTCTTCTAATGTTCTATTTGCATTTCGATAAATTTCGTTTTACAGAAAGGTATGTCTTGATTACCATGACAATCGTTTACTTTGTTACTCGGCGTGGCCTACTACCAACTGGATATTTTAAGAAAACCAAACCAAACCAAACCAAACCACAAGTATAGTTAATATCTAAAAAAATATTTTTTTTCGAAAAAAGTCTGACTACGCCACTGCATTCTATACAGAAAAGTACCTTGAGAATGTATAATTCATTTTTGCGTAGTTGCTGAAATAAATAAACTATCGAACATCTTCAAAAAGTACAAAATTTGAGAATCCCTCTGTAGCTTCCAAACCGATCAAGATAGCCGCGATCCGTTTGCGGCATTGTTTTTTCAAAAAAAGAACCCGAGTCTGCAATATCAAAATTTGAATATTTCTTACGGTTTCCTAGATACCCTATAGAAACAACCAAAATGGTCCACCCTGTACATTGCATTTTTCTAAAAATGCCAATAATAAAAAAGTTTTTCCTTTTGTTAAGAAAATCTGGGGACATACCGTAGAGCATATAAATGCTTGGATATATCTACCGGGTCGTTGGAAATATATACGAAATCCCATTCAAATTTTGAACTATTCAAATATTGGCTTCCCTATTGATGTTATAGCGAAGTCGTAAATAGATTTTTTAAAGGTCTACGTTTGGTAAACACACTTGCCAAATTTAAACCATTTTGGACAAGCCGATTTTGAGTAATTTGAGAAAAACTGCATTTATTTTTAAAATAAAACTTAACAGGTAACAATCAAACACCAGTCAAAAACCGACATACCTTAAGATGTCACTGTCATTTTCCAAAAACTTAATTTTAATATTCAGTACCTACTAGTAATAGTTTATTGTTATATACCTAAAGAAAAAGTAAGCAGGATAAAATGGTAAAATGGATAAAATAGCTTAGACAGTGTGTCTGACATGTTTCGGTTAATTTCCCCTGAAAATTCAAATTAAATTACTTTTGACAATGACAAAATCAGAGTTTGTAAACGTAAGTTATGTCTTTGACTGGTGTTTGATAGTTACCTGTTCGATTCTAATATAAAAATAGAGGCAATCGTTTTTAAATTGCTCAAAATCAGCTGGTCTAAAATTGTTCAAATATGTGTATTTACCATACATAAACCTTTAAAAATATATTTACGACTTCGCTGTAAAATCTGCAGGAGAGCCAATATTTGAACACTTCAAAATTTGCATGGGATTTCCTTTGTTTCCAACGAGGATGCACCACCCGGTATATTTTATTTAATTCACTGAAACATCAACAATAATAAAAATAAATTTGGAACTCTTACTTGTGCTTTGTTGTGGAGCATGGCCTGACCTCCACAACACCCTGATGATCTGGGTGTAGGCTACAGACATGAGAACTAAAGGCAAGAAGTAGAAGACGATCATTTTGACGATCATGTAGATGGTGTCAGTTTCTTCACTCCAAATGGGCGCGCATTGGGTGAAGTAGGTGTATTTTTTGTTGTACGGTTTGGAAATCAAATATATTGGCTCCGGTATTTCTGAAAAGAAGAAAAATTATAGATAAGAGGTTGCAGAACAAGAACATTTATAAATTTTTCCTAAAATTAACTAAGAGTTCGACCAATGAGTACAGGGTGGGTCAAATTGGACGCTTTTAAATGGAAACACACCTATAGGAGATAGACGAAAACTAATATGGGTGTCTGGATTGGATTTTTATTAAAAACATGATGGTGTTACGGAGTTACGGGGTGTTTTTCAAAAATATTAATTTTTAATAAATCTCTGTATTTTTTTGCTATAGAAAATGTTGTATTTTTATGAAATTATTTCCATAGCAACTTTTTACGTAAAATTTAATGGTTTAAGTATATTTTTCTTAAATCAATAATTTAAGAGTTATCAACAGAAAAATTGATTTTTTATTTGGGACACCACCCTGTATATTTTTATTTATCTGAAAAGGACTTAAAATTACTTTTCCAAAAATATAGCTCACTTGATATTTTGTTATAATCCCCTTCGAAATACAGAATTTTTAAAATTTCGTCAGTTTTAACTAGTAGGCTTTGGACCCCTTATTATTGATATGCCTTTAATGGAACTCGAAAACATATTTTTCCAGTAAGACGAGGCACCGTCGTAGAATGCTGAAGTTATCAGCAAATTTTTGCAGCCAATTTCGAAAATAATTATTAACCAAGATCCCAGCCGTTGGGGACCGAAGAATAAAGGTTCTTATTAGCCGACCATACCAATAGGTATGGTAGGCTATTAAGATCGGCAAAAAAAGTTTTTTAATTTCTCTCAAAATAAGTTATTTGGGTCATAAATGACCTAAATACAAAATATTTTCATGGTGTCCGTGTGTCCGTCTGTAACACGATAACTAAAAACCGCTAAACCGATTTTAACCAAATTTGGCACAAAACTACTGTGGCACCCGAGAATCTGGCCTTTAGTTTTTGGTGGGGGTGGGGGGTTGGTAAGGGGGTATGGGAGGGGGTTAAAATTTAAAAAAATCGTATCTCCAAAATTACAGTAGTTAGCGAAACGCGGTTTTCAATTTAAGATATTTGCAACTAATTTTGTAATAACATCAAAATCAGTCAAAGTCGTAGTTTTTGAGATAAAAAAAATAGGAAAAATTCTTTTACTTTGAAACTAAAAGAACTGCCTACCAACTTTTTATTAACATATTTTAGTATGGGCCGCTATACGTGCCTCTTGGCGCCAATTTTTTTTAAATTGCCCGTATAATCTAGACAAAAATTAGAAGTACTTAGCGGTTATGCGAGAGTATCTTTCACCCTCACTGAGTTAACGAATTTCGCGAGAAACGTTCAAAAACGGTCCTGTCTGCCCATAAGAGAAGACGGTCGACATGTCAAACACCTGTAGCAAAATCTCATGTCTTGGTTTGTTATTAATTTTTATTGTTATTAGATATAGTTTAAATGAGTTGATGTTGTTAAATTTTGTTTAAATTGTTAGAAAATTCCGGATCTCTCATTGTAAATATTATTTTAGTTTTATTTGCTGCTCACAGCTAGAATTTTTTTGCATTACAGCCGGCGCCGTTCAAAGCTTACTTATTGAAAGTGTGCGAATTTTTAAAAACTGTATATCTTGAAGAGAAATCGAGCAAAATCTCAAGTATGCTATATTTTTTAAATTATTTTCAATGAATTGAAAATATACAGGGAGTCCTATATAAAAAATCAGATTTTCTGTTGCTAATTCTTAAAATATTAAATTTAATTTTTTTTACTTAAACCATTAAATTTTACGTAAAAAGGTGCTTTGGAAATGTTTACATAAAAATACAAAATTTTCCATAGCAAAAAAGTTACAGCGATTGATGAAATTTGAAAATGCACATTTTTGAAAAATACCTCGCAAAGGTAGTATCAGACATAGCTACTTTTGTTGCACAGCATATTAAAAAACTGTGCAACTTGATCTGCTGCAAGTGTGAATACCTAGGCAACCTGCAACGTTGCGATCGCAGCTTGGTTGCGTAGGCTACTTTTTTGTTGCGCGCAGTTTAAGAAATAGCCGGTGTGAACAGTTGTTGAGGAAGGTTGCAAGGTGCAGCAAAATATTACTGATCAGTTGAAACTTTTACTGCGGACATCGGTGCAGTATTCTGTCGGTATGCCCAAAATGTATACACTTTTTTCAGTTAACTCCAGGATTTATATGTAGGTATTTAGTAAGATGTAGTTAAAATCCACCTTTTCCAAACGCAGAGAATTTTTAAAGTGCCACTCGTCTTGAGCATGCAATTCAGTAAGTAAATTATTATTGAATGGATCCAACTGTTCGCGCTTTCTTATCCATTCCCTGACCCACACTCTTGTTTTTTTTGTCGCCGCTTCTGTTTCTCCGCCAAAGTCACATATAAATATGCCGCTGCTAACACTGTCTCGTCATCCATTTAAAAAATTCACAGTTCTTTACAAAGATGCAACCGGGGGGGCATTGAAAATGATGAATAAAAACGTAAAAATATGATTAGTGTTAATATGAGTGTATTACATACATATGTTTAAATAACGAACGTTATGGATGAATGTTAAATAACGAAGTTTATGGCGCTCTTTTGTGACGGCTTTTTATGTCTTAATAATTATATATAGGGTGTTTTAGAACTCGAACCAAAGTCGAAATTTTGCAAAATCTCAAAAAAGAAAATCTCTCGAAAATAATAAATAGTAAAATGACATTTACCCTCTATGGATAGAACCCTACCTATGGTCCCATATAAACTGTATACTAAAATAAATATCTTTGACATATAATTGTCGTTTTTCTTGATATACTCCCCTGATTTTATTTTATTTTTCCAGAGCACTAATACTCTCTTTATGTTATTTTTTATTCCTAGAAGGATGATTTGAAGAAGAAATATTTCGTTCATATTATTGATGTCACTAAATAAACCCTTGTATAATATGTTATACTTCTAGATGTTATAGTAATGCATTTTCGTACAGCAAACTTTCATTCCCTATTCTACTCCCTAAGGGTACGAATTTCATAAATTCCTATGTCCAAATAATTAACTCATGTTTTTTAAATGATCCTTTGTGCAAATTTTTATATGTATAATCCAGAGGTCACGAAGGTTTATATAATTTTTTACTAACTTTACCCATTTGGTTGATGAATTTCAAAAATCTCTTCTTATTCTTCTTTCTGTAGAATTTCATTCTTCTAGTAAATGATTTTCATACAACAAATCGTTCGACATAATTTTACACTCTAAGAGGATGAATTTTCTAAAATCGCTTTGCATACTAATTCACTAATCACTAATGTCCTGTAAACGAACCTTTGTGCTAATATTGATGTATCTAAAGCTAGTGGTATGAACTGACCCCTAAAATATCTAAAAACTTGATATATAATCTCTATAATCTAACTGACACACCATTGACAATGACAAATAATTGTTTTCTGGAGGTATTTTGTGTAGGTGTTTTTCAGGTATGTTTTAATATTTATTCGTTTTACATAAAGAAATACCGATTAAACGATATAATAATACTTCATAACAAATCTAGACATATATACCTTTCATTTAAAAAAAGAATCATCAAGATTGGTGAGGCGGTTTCGGCGGGATGGATGTAACAAAAAAAAATATATAAAAAGAGCTTTTATATATGTATCCCACTTCGGTATCACAAGCTGAATTTTTCAGGGAAGGAAGTACAAATACGTGATATGGGGACCCTTATTCCAAAAGTAGTACAAAATTAGACTGGGAAAAAGGGCACTATCATCAAAAATCGATATATTAATACCACCGTATAGAGAAAACAAATACTTATTTTTTGATCCAGTACAAAATAAAGTCTTCGTAGGGAGTAATTTTTTATAATTATTTACAAAAAACATTTCCATTAGCGCTTATGACCGAAAAAACTTTAAACATGAATAACTCATTTCAATCATGCGAAAATTTGGTTTAAAAATGGACTTTTAAATATAACTTTCATTTAATGAAAAACGAAGGCCTAAATGAAAAAAAGAAACAATTTATAAGTTTCGCTTATGTCTTGACAAGGTAACAAAGCAAACCCCATATTTTTTGCTTTTAAACTAATAAAGATATATCAATAAACAATTAGCGATGTCCGACTGCCGCCGCCGCGCCGAGATTTCCTATACGTATACGCGTGATGACGTCATGGTGTGGCAAATGTAGCATTTTAATTCGATTTGGGCTCCCTTATATAGGATAACAGAAACATTTTCAATGTTAAAAAAACGAAACCGTCTCCCAAAAGGTACACGATATCTTGAGCTGTGGGTGGTGTACTGTTGAATGTTGCCCCTCCAAGGCTGCGGCTACCAAAATATGTTGCAAAATTAGGGCTTTGGTGTGAACATATGAAAAGCATGTAGTGTCGATCTGCATTTTTTTTAGGCAGCTGCTGCATAAAAAGTGCGCGTTTTGGGCTACTTTCTGCTGGTGTATGAACACTGTATGCAACTTTTGCAGCGGCTGCAAAAAAATTGCGCAACAAAAGTAGCTGTGTCTGATACTACCTTAACTCCGAAACTGTAAGAGATATGGATGTGCGGTTTTCACAATCATGTTTGTAATAAAAATTGAGCTCAGACACCGATATTAGTTTTCGTCTATCTCCTGTAGAAAAGAATGTTTCCCTTTAAAAGCAATTTGGCCCACCCTGTATTACCAGTCATGACCTATGCATGCGAAACCTGGACATTCAAAACTGCAGGTCGTACAACGCTCAATGGAATGAACTATGCTGGGAAAAACCAAGAAAGACCACAAAAGAATAGAGTAGAGAAGACAAAAAACCCAGGTAATAGATGTCACCCACATAATCAAATCTCCCAAGTGGCAATGGGCAGGACACCTGGCAAGAAGGACGGACAACAGATGGACCACAAAAATTAAAGCATGGTACCCACGAGGAATTAAGAGACATAGAGGAAGACCAAACCTGAGATGGGACCATGATATTAAGAAATTAGCATGGATAATTTGGGTCCGCAT